ATATAAAAACAAATTTACAAAAAAGTATTTTGTCCTGCTAACTCGAGTTGCGTAACTCAAGTTTTCACTCGAGTTACGTGAATTTCAACTCGAGTTGTAACTATTCCGAGTTGGCACATCTACAAGTTTTTGTAATTATCATTTACATTCTCTTTGGCTTGAACTTTAAGGCCGGCCTCATACATACGGAATGCCATTTTGGGATTCCGTTTCGGAATTCCGATTTGGGATTTCGAACGCAGCAAGTACATATAAAATCAAGGTGCCATCATACACCCACGTTAGTTTTCCGTTCGAAAATTTTCGGGCAAAACGGGATTCCGTATGTGTGTGGCCCACCCGTTCGTTCTGTTTTAGACTTCCGAAAGGGTATTCCGAAAAGGAATTCCGTACGAAAGCATATGATATTTCACATGATACAAAATAAGATAGCTATAATTATATATCTCACATATATTATAGATCATATATTATAGATCTCACCTTATTTCTTTTACAAGTACATGTTTGTTATAGTTTTTCAACTCCATAGACACCGTCATATGGAAACAAATGCGAAAACGTTGTCCACAAAATAAATTAATTTAGTCTATGACATTTTAAGGATTTTGAATAATCCGGTTCGTAAAATATTTATACAAAATATTACAAAAATCCTGTGGTTCTAACGTATAGAAATAACTTTACTTCAGAAAACTCTACTTTACAAAAATTTAATTAAAAATATTTTTATGCAAATTGTATGTGGTTTTATAACATATAATTGACAAGCGCACCGGTAAAACGAAGTCGATTTTATAAGGCAATGCAGAGGTAATAAAACCACATATAATTTGCAAACAATTTTTTTTCGTTAAGTTTTCTAAATTAAAGTTATTTTTATACGGTGGATAACTGATTCTGATAACGCACTTAACAGGAAAGACAGGGTTTTTGTTATATAAGTCAATGAGCGTCAAAAGAAGCTTCACCTGATACCGCACAGTAAAAACTGGTCAAATAACGCGGAATTTCGTGATATCGCGGTAACTTAAAATGTATTGTTGAAAAGGTCACTATGACCTCTATGAAACTACTTAAACTCATCCAGTATGTTTCTTTCAAACCAGCCATAGCCTTATTACGGGTTTGACGAGATATATTCACTGTAACATTTTACTAAGTACTCCATTAATTTTTTATTTATTTATGTTTGCCTAATCGACACAGGGGTTGCTTCACGGAACGTACATAAAGGGCACGACTGCGATCTGCCTCCTCTTTTCTTGCTCCACCACAATTATCAATAAATCGATAACGAACGTATAGCCCGTTTTTCTTTCTGCTCCATCAAGATACTATCCATCATTCATTTATTAACTACAGCTTATCAATAGTCCACTGCTTAACACTGTTATTTTGCATAGATTGCTTCATAGGAGGAATATTTGCCACATTCCCCTCTCTTAGCAATTAGGTTCGCAATAGCTTTTTGATTTTGAGTGTTAATAGGAAGATACGACTGCCTATCTCGGTTTCATTTCTATCTGTCATCTTTTAAGATATTCAAGCGATGTTAGGGGTCTTACAGCTTCTAAGTATGAGGTACTGTATTCTCTTACGCCACCGCTACACGGCATTTGCTTTAAAATTTTGTGAGACGAATATCTGCAATGTAATATAATCATCATCACTTCATTTCAAAAACAATTCACTTGATCGCGCGAATAATAATAAGTATAGTCTTAATTTATTTATATTTGCGTAAATATAATGCTAAATATATGCTAACATTGAGAATTAAATCACTATAGATTAAAGACGTGTCTTATGAAATAACGTCACACATAATACTAACTAGGGTCGATGCAGATGTAAAGGCAAAACCTTTTGCTAGCATCATAAACGGAGCGAAATAAAAGTCTAAAGTCTTAACTATCTTTATTCCATAAAAAGATTCAGTCAAATGGTGTGACATTGCGCAGATGTAAATTAGCGAATTGATTAGATAGTAAAAGAAAAAAAAAATCAGATTTTTATTGTTTACAAACCTTGTCTGCGTTGCCAAAAAAAAATATTAGGATAGACGTTTATAGATGGAGTTTTCTTTTTTTTATATTTGGCATAGTATAAACCATAGACTTAGAATAAACTAGCGTAAAGACGACCTAAAAGTCCGAAAACTCGTGAAAAACTTTGATTTGTCATTATGTGCGTTAACTAGTGAAGTAATTTTTACCTATAAGAACTTTCGATAAATGATTTCAGTGCCACTACAATACTGCAATCAGAAGTGCTAAGGATGGTAAGATGGTTTAACAATATTAGTTTAGTACACGAAGCTGAATAACTCTAAAAATTGACTGATTTCTTACAGTGGTAGTTCCAAAATAAATAATATAAATATTTTTTTATTTATTCTTAAAACCTGTTAGCGGGAATAAGCTGAACTTGATTGCTTTTAGTTGGATTTTATTACAAAATGTATAAAATCTCAATAATCTTTGGAGAGGTGAGCTTACACATAAAATTAAACAATTTTTTCCAAGAAACAGATCAGAAACAAATATTTTCGAGTATTTATGACCCTAGGAGAAAAAAAATACTGTAATGAACAGTGTGATGTCCACACGTGTATGTACTTTCAGAGGACACCAGTAAAACAACCACTATATAGTAATTGAGACGGCCGCAGTCGATAGACTACGTCCACTCGCATTTGCATTTTCCGTGGAATTAATGCAAGAGAATAGCGGCACTGTCACCGTCACATTGATTTATTTATTTAGTTCCAGAACACCACAGACCGTTTATCTTGAGAATGTATTTTTTTTACATAGTGTTAATAAAATATAAATAGGTAGCTACTTGTATTAAAAAAAACAGTAAATATCTACTCAGCATAGATTACTAAATATACGTACTCAGTGTTTCCGTTTTTATTTTACCAGCAAACATTTCAAAATAATTTTAAGCAAATTATTTACAATTTTGTATCATTAAACCTATATGTATATCATATCAAAAATGAAAAGTTGGGTGCCAAAATTTTGATTTCAGACCTTATTTGACTGGACTATATATCGTCGTATGCATGGTCGTAGAACGTCGTCGCAATAATTTTTCCATCTTGTGCATATTACGTCCCCATCCCGGTCATGCGCTTGTCTCGTATGCACGTTTACATAGATTTTCTATGAAACTTTTTCAAAAATTACAGGAAAATATAAAAAGTTTTGAGCCAGACGGTCAATCAAAACACGCTACGTATGTAGCGTGTTAGTGAGAAAAAGATCCCATAATAAATTTGTCCAAGTGGAGTACAAGATAAGAGTGGGTATGTATGTATGTGGGTGGTATTTTTTATAGTTTGTGAGTAGGTAGGTATTTAAATACGCAATAAATTGTGGAGCTAAAGAGAGGTCACCTCTGCGGTGCTATGCCTTTTCCAGTCTATGGATACCTGCAGCCAACTTAAAATTTTGGAAAGAGCACAGGACACGTACTATACCCGTATGCATTGTGTTTACACTTATAATTACTTACGAACAACGAACAAGATCGTGCCACATACAGTATCTATTACTGTAACATTAGCAACAACAATGGAGCAAGTAACCACACTTATGCCGCTGGCCAAAGACCCTAAAATGCAACCTAATAAGCGAAGGGTTAATTCGTCAAAAAAAAATCGTAGTCATCGGGGAACTGTGTAAAGGCGGTGTAATAATATCCACTACCCCCCTATCATCCCGTGGGTATCGTAAGAGATGACTGAGGTAAACAAATCAGGAGATGGGCAGCATAGCCTTCCTAATAACGATTAAAAATAAAAAAATGCGGTGGCCAAGCGGGGCACCTATGGCAAATATCTCCCCTATGAGGCAGCAGTGGACTTTGACGGTATTAATCATAATTTGGAAAACGCGATATTCAATTATTCACCTACCTGCCTTGTGAAAATGTTTTAGAATCTAACGGTGGCGAGTATAATTTGAATTAAAGTCCTTCAATTAAAATTTTATGATTCCTGGTATACTTAGCATTCAACGTCTTCTTTTTCACTATAGGTTGGTGATTTATGTTACTATTTTATAAAAGTAAAGGTTACAATTAAGCATACAAGAAATCAAATAGCAGATACGTTTTCAATTAGAACTACGGCTCTATCCAGTTTATTGGAGCACGCTTATATGTTTAATTTAAACGATTTCGTTCTGAGTTATTCTGACGTTTGGAGTTGTACGGTTGGACGATCGTTTAATATCAGCATTAAAGTTATCTTTATTATTTTTAATATGAATAGATTGAAACCGGAGAATTTTTATTTACTTATCGGACCAAAACGGGTCAAGTCCAAACACAAAATATATAGTCACCTTATTTGTGATAGTGAAAATAAAAGATAATCGCTTACCTGGAAATTATATGATTTCAGGGAGTTACATTCATTAAAATGCTTATTTTTGAAAACTGCAATATTTGAGATTTCTTAAATACATACATAGTATCTGTTACAAAAACATAATTTTTATTAATTTTGTTAACATGGCAACTTTGAAATTGACAGTTATAGTCAGTTATAGTATCAAAAAGTTCTGAATTTCAAACCGTCTCGGAACGTTCATCGGCGTATTATTTGTGTTTGGTTTGAGTTGCAACCGATTTTTGGCAAGATTCCCTGGGGCGCGCGGGTTATTTAGAACGAACGTCGCAATGCTTGCAGTACAAAAAGGTTAAAAATAGATATCAGATTTTATAGTGAGTTGAGCTGCGTGTTCTGACATTTTTGTTTTCATAAGTTATACATAATGTTGGTTTCGACAATCTCGTTAAAATCCAAGTGAAACTTTGATAGTGAATACTGTTTTATTACAGGACTGATTTTTTACTTTAGTTGTTTTACGTGAACTATTTTGAATTTAAAAGGACAAAAAGTGACGCATCGACTTATGGAGTAGTGCATAGTGCTTAAACGTACGGGTTGTTAAATAATAATATTCTAACGTAAAATTACCACAATGGCTCAAATTGAGCCTATGGACATAGACATTATTGATAGTGATTTTGACAACAAAGAAAACAGTTTTCATCACAGCAATGTTTTGTCGCGGACGACCTGCACCGAAAAGGGATATGAGGAGTTAGATGTGTCGGAGCTGAACATGAAATTGAGGTATTCTATTACTCCAGCCTCTTCACCTATGTCCAAAAGTTTTACTGCTAATTGTTTGGATAATAGAACCTATGATAGTGAAGACTACTTAAACAATGTTGTTATCAATGAAAATGGTAATTTAACTCGTTCATTAAATTCCACAATTACCAGACCTTATCAGGATACTAATAAATCTGTTAAATCTCTTCCTTTAAAAGTTCTTTCAACTGATCAAAAGGAGGATAGAAGTGCCTCAGTACTCCGATCGTTGGATTCCTCTCTTAAAACTGATGAAATTAATGTGACATTAAGTGTAGGAAATGATAATATTGACAATGTATTACTGCAGAGTGCATCATCTTCAGTGACACAAACACCAGAAGCAACAACGCCAACAAAGGAAATACCAAAACATGATGGTGGTTCTCCCATAATGAGAGGTCTTAAGACTGTTCTTAACATGTTCCGTTCATCTCAAAGCCCTATACCGCCACCAGACAGTCATAATGATAAAAAATCAGAAGCTCTTAGCCCCACAGATTCAACGTTAAAAGGTCCTGTAGCATCTGTACATTTGGCATCAACCCCCATTGCAAATAAAAACACAGAAGATAGTAGAAGATGTAGCCCTCTAAAAGAAAGCATTGTTTTCAATGATGATCTTGAAAGGGAATTGCAGTGGAAAGATGAAACAACAATATTGTTTAAGGAAGAAAAAATTCCAATTCATAAATTATTTCTCCCACAAACTATGTCATCTGTTTCAAAGACAGCAGATTCCATTACGAGATCTTCAAAAAAAGAACAAAATTATGATTTAAATGCTTCTGTGGAATATATGGATATTTTAAATAATGATTCTCTATTAGGGTGTAAAACTACTGAAAATATTCAACCTACTTTTATATCAAATAAAAATGAAGCATTGGCTGTGGAGTCGGATGGTGAATTTGTCGACTGTGAAACTATATTAAATAGTGATGGTAATGAAAGTAATGTAAAAGAAGAAATAATTGTGGAAAGTAATGAAAAAAAATTCAGTGCAATTATACAGTATAATGATAATAAATGTTTTCAAGGAAAAAGTAAACAGTCAATAGGTGATAATAATATGATAACAGATTTATTATTGACCGATAAAGGTGACATGTGCCATGAAATAAATTTAAATAAAAACATACAAGCAAATTGTGAATTTAGGAATACCAGTAGTGATGTTTCTTTGGAAAACACAGTTGATGATCAGTCAAAGCAAGCGTCGGTTGTTCAGAATATTTTAACATCAACTGTAAATGAAGTTTCAATTTTAAAAGATGAAAATAGTACAAAATTGGTAAGTAATGAAATTACTAACAAAATTAGTGCAGATAAATTAACACAATATAGCCAAATTGAGGTAAAAGTTAATAAAAGTCCAGAAAATTCTGATAGTGTTGTTATGCCTGAAGGTGTTTCTAATAAATATAACTGTAAAAATGAACATCACAATGAAGTAAGACTACCGTCAGATATTCCTTTACCTGATGATGATTTTGAAAAAGATTTTTATTCTGTAAATCCTAATGCCTTGAATCCTGTCTGTGATCCTGTCTCCAATGGTGAAAACTTAATTAATGAACACAAAGTTATGTATGACTTAGAAATGAAAAAATGTATTGATGTTAGTGAACTATCTGTAATCCAAGTAAATAATTCTAAACATATTTTTGATAATAAGGAATTATTTAGCTTAGAATATACGAAACCTTATGAAATAGGAATTGAGGATGTAAATCAAACACATCATGGTAGTACGGAGTATTATTCTGAAACTATAGATTTATCAAACAAAATATCAATGTCAGAATATATTGAAGAACACAAAATTATAGAAACAAGTGAATGTTCGCAGGTTGATAAAGTGGGAACTGAGAAAATTAACAATAATGAATTTCAACAAGGTTTACTAGAATCTAAAGAGCAACAAAACTTACATGTTGGTGATAGAGTATTGTTTGGAAATCAAGAAATGTTTGATAGCCAACAAATAACTTCATTTGAGACTAGCTCCTTAAACAAAAACATTTTGGAACTTAAAGAAACAACCTTTACTGAAAATAGAGATTTAGACAATTTATCCATTAGACATGAAGGTGTATTGGAAAGTAATTTATGTGATAACAAAAATGATATCATTAAAACGACAAAAAAGACAAGAATACAAGATAGTGGTAATTTGGAAAATACTGTAGATCTTAGTGAAATTGGAAGTATAACCCAAATGAGTACTAATAATGGCGAAACAGTGATAAATCAAAAATCTAGAGCAATATCTGAGATAGAAAATAATTTTGATAGTGATTACATAAATGCTACAGGAAATGCTATACCACAGTTTATCTCCGACAAAATTTTAAATTCAATTTTCTCTACTGCTGAATTAACTGAAAGTATTAATAAAAATCAATTATTAGAAAAAGAACAAAACTGTAGATCTGAATTACAAATAGATAATATAACTAATGTGGTAAATAATGAATCACTAAAAATAAAAGAGATTAAAATTGATAATATGCTTCCAGACTCATGTGATGATTTACCCAATATAATAGATATAGTTTCTGCATGTCAAAATCAAAAAGAATTTAAAAAATTACGAGAAAATACAATGATTGATGAAATAAATGCTATTGATGTAAAGAGGAACATAAATAATTTAGAAGAAAATGACATTCACTCTTCTAAAATTATAACTATTAGTCAGCATGAAGTTGAACAAGCAATGACAATATCAGACAAAAAACAAGACAAAAATAACTTTGATTCATTGAAATGTACAGAGATGCTTGAAACATCCAATATAAATAATTTTGCTGACATTGTAGAAACGCCAAAGATAGGATGTGATGATGAAAAAAATAAGTTAGAGAGTGAATCTTTAAGAGTTGATAGAAATGAGAACTTAGATTCAAGCAATAAGAAAATCATAGAAAGCTTAGACAAAGAAGCAGAATGTGAAGCTCAGGATACAAATGTCAGTAAAAAATATCTTGATATTGAAAATACTATAATAAACAATCCTATTACATTGGAATATACAGAGAAGCTTGAAACATCCAATATAAATAATTTTGTTGACATTGTAAAAACATCAAAGATAGGATGTGATGATGAAAAAAATAAGTTAGAGAGTGAATCTTTAAGAGTTGATAGAAATGAGAACTTAGATTCAAGCAATAAGAAAATCATAGAAAGTTTAGACAAAGAAGCAGAATGTGAAGCTCAGGAAACAAATGTCAGTAAAAAATATCTTGATATTGAAAATACTATAATAAACAATCCTATTACATTGGAATATACAGAGAAGCTTGAAACATCCAATATAAATAATTTTGCTGACATTGTAGAAACGCCAAAGATAGGATGTGATGATGAAAAAAATAAGTTAGAGAGTGAATCTTTAAGAGTTGATAGAAACGAGAACTTAGATTCAAGCAATAAGAAAATCATAGAAAGTTTAGACAAAGAAGCAGAATGTGAAGCTCAGGATACAAATGTCAGTAAAAAATATCTTGATATTGAAAATACTATAATAAACAATCCTATTACATTGGAATATACAGAGAAGCTTGAAACATCCAATATAAATAATTTTGCTGACATTGTAGAAACGCCAAATATAGGATGTGATGATGAAAAAAATAAGTTAGAGAGTGTATGTTTAAGAGTTGATAGAAATGAGAACTTACATTCAAGCAATAAGAAAATCATAGAAAGTTTGGACAAAGAAGCAGAATGTGAAGCTCAGGAAACAAATGTCAGTAAAAAGTATCTTAATATTGAAAATACTATAATTAACAATCCTATTACATCAGCAAGTACTGAAGAAATCAATGCCCAAGCAATTTCTGCAGCTTCTGCTAATGCACTTTTAAACATGAGTATATGTAAAGAAGGAAAATATGAAAATGAAGGCTCAGAAAGCTGTAAAGATATATTATGTAAACATACAGATGTAAATAAAATTGATCCTCAAGAGGAAAATGATACTGTATATTATCAAGGAAATGAAAAGGTTGAGAACTCTCCCTGTAAAAGTAATCTTATTGCAGCTGGTGATCACAACAAGTATTTATTAAATACTGATAAAACTAAAGAAAAAGATGGTTGCATTTCAAAAGACATTGCGGAAAAGCATATAATTGACGGTGCTCCATCTGGCATGGAAGTTTTTTCTCAATCTGAAAATATTACCAATATAGAAAATAATATTTCATTTCCCAATGCCTGCATTCCAGATGTATTAAATTCCACCAACAAAAATTTGATAAATCAAAGTTTAAGAAGCTCAATAAGAGCAAATAAATATGTTAAAGCAGACAGTAATAAAGAAGAGTTGAAAAGTATTTATCCGAGTGAAAATATGGATGTCGATGTTACGCTGCAAGAAATAAATACTGATGATATGAGCAGTCAAGCATTAGGAAGTATTATAGTAGACAACTGCCAGTTTAAAAAAAGCGAAAAAGAAGAAGGAATGACGAAAATATTGGAAAACAGTAGTTTACTTAATTCTTTTCCTGATAAAAACAATATGAGCCCTAAAAAGCTAAACAAAGACTTAGAAAATGAAATTGAGACAACGGAAACTAAAGTAATGAATTCACCTCCATTATCACCCAAAATTTCATCTAAGGGATATAATTTAAATTTTGATGAAATAAATGATCCATTTGTAATAAATAGCAAACAAGTAATGGCGAAACGCTTAGAAAACAAAAGTTTTTCTGTTTCTTCTGTCGAAAGCCATAAGGAACCTAAACAGCTAAAGGCAGAATTAGAGAATATAATTCAACCATTAGCAACAAATACGAAAGTAATGGCATCCCCTCCATTGTCGCCTAAAATTTCGTCTAAAGGATACAATTTTGATGAATCAGAAGATCCATTTGTCACAAAAACTAAAATAAGAATGTCTCCTCCACCGGAAGGTACGCCTTCATCACTGCCGTTGGTTGGCAAAAGCAGTATTAGCACAAAGTTGACTAAAAAGGATTTGCAAAAACGTAAATCCTTGCCAGAGAAAAAGAGACAACTCATTTCTCAAAATAAAAGAAACAGTGTTTTTGACATTCCAGGAATGATTGAAAATTCGAAAAATATGGAAGCAGTGATGGTACAAGATCTAACTGATATTATTAACCCAGTGGATATTAGTTCATCAAATGTATCAGCACAGGATACATTAGTTGAATCTATTGAAGTAACTGTGTGTCAAGGTAAGGAATTTGTCAGTGACACCGAAAATACACAAACAAACTGTGGTAGAACTGAGTCTTCTTTAAATGAACAGAATATGTTATCTGTGAACAATTTGGAATCTAAAAACGTTTTCAATCTACCGGAAATGTCATCACAAATGACTTTTAAAGTCACAAAATCGAGATTTTGCCAGTCTCTGTCCCCCCATAAAGAATCATCTAAGAAGGATGTTTTTGAAACTCCATTTGAAGGTTCATCACATTTAACTCGTCATGATGACGATGGTAAGAATGCTGAGGACGTAGATAACAAACAAACTGATAAAATTGAACACGATTCTTCTATCGCAAGTTCCTCATCAAAAGAGACTGAAGATGCAACTGTTCGGGAAGTCAATACTGAAGACGAAGACACTGTAGAGGGTCCCTTTTTTGAAAGTGACGAAATTATTAACGCTGATAAAATTTCTCATTCTGGAACTGAAAATGACGACATGATGCATTTTTCAGACTTGCCAACTCAAGGAAATGACGATAATGAAAATGGCGAAATGTTTATTGATGCTGAGGCATATCACTTCCTTTTAAATCAAAATAAAAGTAATGTTGTTGTCAACAGTGGCAAAGAGAGCTTATTTTTGAAATTCGATCCCCTTTTTGCTAAAAGAATGTCTTCAGATGGAGCTTTAGCAGCGCTTAATAATGTTCATAAACGGCAAAGTACGCCGAAAAGGATTTCACGGGTTCATACAGTCGATGTTAGTTATAGTGATAAATTGTCACCTGGACCGTCAAATTCAAACATTACGACAGATATTAATAACACATTCGAAGCTAACACTGAAGATCCAAATATTACTGTTTCTAAACCAATGATGGTGGTAAACCCTGCTATTAACTCAATTGTTTCTCCAAGAAACAAATCTAGTACTCCTCCTAGAACAAACAGGCGTTCCCTTACATTCACATCTCCTGCCATAGCTGTTATTGACAGACTTCTCTCATTAAGCGCTAATAACTCTCCCATAAACCATGACAGGATGACAACTGAACTCCGGAGAGAACAAAATGAAACAGATCTGGCTTTAACGCAGCTTAGAGAACTTTTAGCTGAAAAAGAAATACATGTGCACAATCTGAGATCGGAAAGTAAAGAGTTAAGGGAACGATTATCTACGCTAGAATCTCAAGTTAAAACTTTAGAAACAGAAAGTGAACAGAGGCTGAGAAAAGTTAATGAATTAAATGAACGTTTAGTTGAAAAAACAAAAATCAATAAGAGCATGGCGGCAGTTGTCGAAGAATATGAGAGGACTATAGCCAGTTTAATTGCAGAAACGGAGCAAGACAAGAAGCTCCATGAAGAGGAACGGACTAGATTGATCAATGAAAGAGACGAACAGACTGCACACTTAGCGAGTATGGAGATCTCATTCAACGATCTGCACAGCAAATATGAAAAGAGTAAACAAATAATTCTAAGTTGTAAAGCAAATGAAGACACTTACAAGAAATCGATCCAAGAGTTTGAAGAGAGTTTGCAAAAAATGCAGAACAATTATGAGCTGTTAAAACAACACGCAACATCAAAGCTAAACCACGCGAATCAGGAATTAGAGAGATTAAATAGGTCACACGAAGCTGAAATATTGAAACTGAATGCTATGATTAAAAGGAAGGAGCTGCATATTACGTCGCTTGAAGAGACTCTGGCGCAAAAGACCAAAGCCAATGAGGAGTTGACGGCAATTTGCGATGAGCTCATCAACAAGGTCGGTTGAACTAGTAAGCATTGCGTCTTTTTGCTTTTGCTCTTATAGAAAGTGCCAAAATAATCTTTCAAGTCAAGAAGACTGGGAAATGTGATAGGTATAATTAAGCAGTTTATTTGTTGTCCCGAATTTCAGAGGAGAAAATAATTAAGATTGCCATTGTTAATTTGGTTACATTTACAATGTGACCTAATCTTGTAGTTTGAATTTTTTGATTGTATTAACATATAAAGTACTCTTAACTCACTGTATTAGATTTTTAGGTTCAAAGCCCCCGTTTTTGTTACTGCAAGAATTACATTAATTGTCATATTGTGCATAACTTCTTTTTCAAATCATTGTTGACTTTGTAAATAAAACGTAATTCAAATAAAAATGTTTAATATCTACATATATTTATATAATATCCATAACAAGTTATACTTATTCAGCTATCCTTCTCCTATTCATTTGGTATTTGTTAATATTGTCAATTAATTTTAATAATCCGAAGCAATTGATTTAAACATGTAATAATTCAACAAAAAACACTGTTATTTTATGACATTAAGAAAACTAGGAAGATTTATTTTGAAATTCCGCCCTTTATAGCTAAAAAAATATTGACTATAGGCTGTGGCCACAAGTTGTTTTTGTGAATTTGACGTTTAAGTAGGTATCTATCTAAAATTAAAATTTTGTCGTGTTTTTAATGTCCTAAATTTAAATTAAGCTTTCTAAGTGAATATTTTAGTATGCATAAAAAGAACATTTTGAAAACAATACTAAGAACATGATAAAGTACCTATACAGTATATATGGCAATGAATTATCAGTTATACCATATGATATTAATTCCCAGTTGTTGCATATTTACTATTATGCTGGACATAATATAATGTGTCATCTAATTGAAAAATTGAAACTGGTTGTTATTCCTAGTAAATTTGTAGATCTATTCAATTAAAATTATGTTTGCGAACTTATTTTGTAAGTAATTTTAATAACTTAACTATTTTTCGTACATTATAATATGGTGATTTTATATTTTTGTAGATTTTTAAATATCGATATTTTTCTATTCTATTATTAGTGTAAAGAACCTTAGCTTTGGTCTGCATGTTAGAAATATTATTATAACCATCAAACATATCTGTAATAATTGATGTTACTTTTCCTACTTTTTTATTTTGTATGTTCTATTTCCATTAACTATTATCTTACTCCTTCGACTTTACGTGACTAAACTTGCGAAATATAACGCGATGTAACTCGAGACCTATGACAATAAATCTTGTAACATAATCTTAGTGAGTTGTTGGAGCAACTATTGTATAATAATAAAACAAAGGTAAGATGTTATTTTAGTTATTAAAGCTATTTTCGATTTTTTAATCAGTGTTTTCTTTATGCTTTCTTCCTCTTTTGTTTTCTTCAGTAAAACTAAAGTTACAGCCTATATAGGTCCCACTGCCCTGCTGGGCGGGCATGCATCCACTAATTTCTGAGGCTTTTAGGGTAAGGAAGTGTCCGTCGCGCTGCCCCAATGCCCCAATGCGTGTTGGCGAACTTCACATATATCTGAAATATTTTTTTTCTTATTTTTCAGGCATGCAGATTTCCTCACTATATTTTCCTTCATTGTCGAGCACGTGGTAAATCAGCACTTAAAATCGCAATTAACCATTTCATTAGTGCCGGCGGGGATCGAATCCGGGTTGCTCACGTAATATGACTACAGCGAGCGCTTACAATCTGAGCTACCACGGCTCTCTTTAACTAAGTTGATTATTATTAAAGTTTAACCACGTTTAATAAAAAAATATAAACTTGAGAGGTCTTTCTCTTTTTTTCTAAGGCAGTGCTTTAATTTAGCTATAGCTTGTGTCAGTTGGGTGTGAATACTCGTATATTTTATCTTAATTTTATACATAATATGAGCCAAGTAATACAAAAGTTTTTTGTATTCAGTGTTCTTATTAAAAAGTAATATTGTGTAAAGTATTTTCATATCTATGATTTCTCGAAATGAATTTCAAATTCTATCACATTCACACATTCAATCTTTTTAATTTTGTTGTACGTCCAGATATCTTTAAGATGTACTTTCACCGTTAACGTGACGGAGAAATTCTCCATTAAAACCGTTAAGCATAATATAGTAAATCAGCACTTAGATTTTTTAAGCCTGTAAATAAAAAATTCAGCCGGCCGCGATCTAACTCCGTGTTTATTACAATATAAGACGTTCTACTCGTAAGCTAATATGGCTGTCGAAATGCAAATTTAGTAAAATATCAGACCGAATCTTACCAACATAATTACAAGCTCTTGTAACCTCCTTGTTAACTCGTTTTTTTCTTTTATTAGCTTAAGAGTTTTTCAAATGGCTTGTCACATGTTATAGAAGTTTATTTTTATACTTAAATCATTTTGACTTGTTTTTTAAAGTTATTTGTGTAAAGCAGGAGTTTATAAATTGTTTTTTTTTTATAGATTGAGGATGACAAACGAACACAGGGTCCATCTGATGGTAAGTGGATGCTGTGGCCCATAGACATCTACATTTATCTTCAATTAAGAATCAAAATGCAGGTGCGTTCTCACCCTTGAGAACTAATATGGAATGCCTCATTTCATTTCCAGTAATAAGGGTCTCCGGTTCTCTACACATACCATACGAAACAGCAGCATTGAGCTTGGTTGGTATTCTGTGAGAGAGTGGTCCTTCCCCCGGTCGAGTTGCATAGTATAGCTGCGGCGTTGCTATACCACACAGAGTCTATAAACAGTTACAAAATGTAACATAATATCGGTAGCGTGGCGCAGTGGCTAAGCGTTTGGTTTTGACACTGCGGGCCGGGGATTTATGTACCGTACGGAATATAATATATTTGTATGGGTGTACAAATAACTCCCGGGTGGGTATTTCGTCCATGTGCAGTTAATATATGCAGAACGTTTGCCCGAAAGAAGAAAAATTGCTAATGAGGTATAACGTATTTCCAAAAAAATATTGACCTTAAAAAAATACGTAAAAAGAACATTGCTTTTTTGGACCTCTTTTTATTCGCTTTCTTCATTTTTTTGGTCTAATTATTTTATATCCTTATACTGTTAAACCTATTTTTTTCTTTTAAAATAAGAGAAGAGCTTTTTGAGTTACTGAATGCGAAGAAACTGAAATACAGGGTATCCTAGTTTGGGAGTCAAGGCTCAATGATGTTGTATGAAATTATAAGTGTCAAATAAAGACATTATTATTATACGATAAGGATAGGCAGATGAGATTTAGGGACGTTCAAGAAACGAGCTTACTTCTTTTTGAAAGTCCGGCAACGCATCTCCTCTGACTGCAATTCCTCTGATGCTGCAGTTGTTCCTAGGCTGCGGTTGACGCGTACCTACTATCAGGTGAGTCATAAGCTCGTTTTCCATCTATTCTTTAACAAAAATTTTTTTAAAGAAAAATTGTTAGTTAAATTTTAACTTATCCAGTACTTATAAATGAAAATACAATAAAACTTTGTTAATGTGACCAAAATATTATCATTATGTACCATTTTTATAATGTACAATGGCCAAGTTGAATACAGAAAGCTCGATTTCCTGCGCCTCATTTTTCAGGAAATGTAAACACGTTACTGAAATAGATCTAAAGACGCTAGTTTGAAGTTAACGCTTGATTATTTTTGATCGGGAACGAAAATCAAAAAAGTTTTTTGAACTTTCAAGAATTAATGGATACCTTAGAGTATACATATAGTTATGTATAAGATAGTTAGATATATGTAAGATAGCTCAACGAGCTTACTGTATTGTTCACACGTCTCATATTCAGTGCCACGCTGTGCCAGGATTCGAGAGGACTCGTCCTCATTTAATCATGTAAACTGAACGGTAAAGAAAAGTTTCTTTGGAGTGACGCCATCGTGTGCTGATGACGTATTAGATCGCGTTGCTATGGCAACCAATAACAAACAATGTCAGACTTCTGTCAACGAGCATGTGAGCATCTCATCTTTGGAGGAATATGTTCAAGGAATGTTCGATGAGAGCGTGGCGGTGGATGCTCTTGAAGTAGAGAGTTCTCCCAGCTCAGAGGAGGACGCGGTGCAAGCAGCTATGAGCAAGTTTAATCCGCCCGCGCGGCACACAGCCAGACACGACTTCGATTCAGAGAGCGACAGTGATTCCAGCCCCGAGAATTTCATTGGAAATATTTCCGAACAAGAACAGGTTAGTTAAGCTTTTTAAAATTATTTAAAGGATATTTTAACGTGGTAGAGCCATGTGGCAGCTATATTAGTGGTATAGCTGTAGCACGAGTGGTTCGGCTTGACCGGCACACAGTCCACCTGATGGTAAGTGGATGCTGTGGCCTATAAATATTTACACAACCATAATATACAAAGTGGCTCTGCCGCGTAAGTTTTTCATTCTGGACGTGTTATGATTGTTGATATGTTTTCGACTCTCCGATATTAGCATTTTGGACACGGTTTGGTTAAGAAAAGTGAATTCCGTAGTGTTATGAAAGTGCTCATGAGTGCATAGCAATCTTAAGCACCTGATACCTACAGTATCTTGAAACGAGTATGTTATTTATTGGTCGGGTCTTTTTACTGGAAATGAGGTATCCCATCTTAGTCCTCAGGAGTGGCAACGCATTTGCATTGGATTGTTAACCGAATACATCACCCACTAACCATCAGGTGGTTATATAAAAAAATGGCGAATGATTTGTTCAAGAAACAGGTTAAGTCTATTTGTGGAACACTGTTTGTCTCTCTATTCCTCTCAACCTTCTTTTATATATTATGGTCACTGATCCACCTAAAGTGTATTGTCTTTTCGTGCATAAGTTGATATACTTTCTTTTAGTGCACCTTACCCATTATTCTTTTTTTTTCAATTAGTTTTTTAATTAATTTTCTGGGTTGTCCAGAACCGACCAGACCAGACCAGACCGCCTTTTGATTTTTTTCTCTATATTTTTTATTTTTCATATTAATTTTTCCTTGGTGTACAATAAAGAGTATCGTATTGTATGATTTACTAGAAGCATTCATGCTTTACTCTATCTATATATAGAGATATAGATATATACTATTTTATTAGGAATAGACTTGGATACATAGTTGTAAAACAAAATCCTCTTTTATTTATGCTCTCCAACACCTTAAACATAGATAATATACTATATAGAGCAACCAGTGGCGAAGCTAGAGCTCCAAGCTAGGGCAAGCCCAAGATATAAATTGATAAAAATATAGATTGTTGTTTTTAGCAGTTTTATAAAAATACACCAATCTTGATCTGTCTCCACGCTTCAGTTTCATATTCAGTGCTGTCAAGGACGTGTTTAACAAAGCACGCAGAAGGCATACCACTGCTAGATAGATTGTATTACATATCAGCAATTGCGTAGCTTCGGTGGCTTTGAAGAAAGCCGTTTGGGTTTTAAGCGAAGAAATATTTACTATACAATACATGAACAAAAGTAAAACACGAACAAAGTACAAACAAACTATGTACAATATTAAAAAAAAACTTATTTACATTCTAATGGATAAGAGATAAGATAAGATAAGTGGAATCGTCTCGCTTTCTTATGGAAAGATTTAATTATGTCCACGTAAAATGTTGGTGAACGTTTTAATTGTACCAATAACTGTTTTTAATTGCGATAATTGATAAGTTTGAAATACACTCTTAACCTTGTGTATTATCTCAACAAAGTTTAAAGATTTCCTCTCCGATTATCCCACTTCAATTAATCACAAGTAACACTATTATCCTCTATTTTCATTAAAAATCTTTAAAAAAGCATAAATTTTGAACTCGTAATATTAAATCGCTTCAGATAAGCACACAGAGTAAATAAACATTGAAATGTGAAATGAACTTGCAAACGTATTGCCCGCGCGCCTCCGCTTTTGACAATTTATTCCCAAAAGCCTGGCTTTAAATTTCTATACTAATTGCTATATATACAATCGTAGTTATATTTCATTATAGAATATTTTGCCATAGGTTAGAAAGAGAGCGAACGTCTTCTCGAAAGCCCCGTAAAAAACCCACACGAGCGAGGGAGACAACTATTAGCTCTATTATAACTCATTTTTTATGACAGCAGCAGTATCGCTAATGCAATACGAGGTCATCGGTCGACATGTGTCGAACAGTAGAGTGCGCGGAAAATTTGAAATAGCTTGAAACATTTTACGAGTTATTTTATTAGTTGATATTATTGATTGATTCAGGTTTAATAAGGCAAGCCCGGCTTTTCGGCTTTAATGGAAGCTTCGCCACTGAGAGCAACCTTAAACCTGTGACAGATTTTGACATTGGCGCTTACTATGCACATGCTCATTCGATACTCGTAAACAAATTATTTATATTATAAAAGAAATGTCAACGAATATTAACGAATATAGAACAAATAGAATCATGTAAAAATATCACTTCGTTAAACATAAATTACTGATTCTCGCGTCTATCTACATCCTCGAGTCTTTACTCACATTGTAATAGGTAAAAACTAAAATAAATATTAGAAATTTATTTAAGCATAGGTATTTATGAACCGTGGTAGCTCAGATGGTTAACGTTCGCTGTAAATATAACAGAACGCGAGTAACTCGGGTTCGATCCCCGCCGGCACCAATGAAATTGTTAATTGCAATTTTAAGTGCTGATTTACCACGTGCTCGACGGTGAAGGAAAACATCGTGAGGAAACCTGCATGTCTGAGGAATAAGGAAAAAAATATTTCGAAGATATGTGAAGTTCGCCAACACGCATTGGGGCAGCGCGACGGACACTTCCTTGCCCTAAAACCCTCTCATAAATGAGGGGAGGCCTGTGCCCAGCAGTGGGACGTATATAGGTTGTAACTTTACTTTACTTTAGGTTTTTAGGAACTTAGGAAGGAGCTTAGGAGCGTGTAGTGGTGCTGTAAGAATATCCACTAGCTCATATCGCCCCGTGGGTGTCGTAAGCGGCGACAGAGGGAACTGAAACAGGAGATGGGGATGATAACAACTCAAAACAATAAAAAACTGCAGTTGCAGACCCGCCTACGAAGTGTGCCAACTATGGCAAGATCCTCTCGATGGGACAATCTATGGGAGACGCATATGTTAACTAGTGAACTTTTATAGGCTGTAATGGATAATGGATTTGAACTTAGGATACCCTTTTCTAAATTGAAATTTAAATTAGCTTCGAGCAGCCCCCAGGTTATGTCAATAAAAAATTATAACCATCTAGCGAATTATAAAAAAATCTTTGTAAACTCTGCGCAATTTAATAAACAATTAAAAGCATTGCTTATTACTAAATGTATATTATTTAAATAATATTTAATAGATACTCAATGTATATAATACTTAAAAAGAATTTTTAACGATAAATAATGACAAAGAAAGAATGGGTAAGTACTTCGACTAAGTATTTACATTATTTCTAATTATTTTAACAAATTTATATAAAAATGACAATTTATAATTTATGTTAAGCTAGATAATTCAATAACAGTTAGCTCTCTAGTGTTGCTATGCTTTTGCAGAGCGTCACACGTACGTATACAGGGTTATTTTGCATTAACTGGCCAAATTTACAGAAAAGTGAAGATGAAAAAAAATTATTAAAAAAATCTTAATCATTCTGTTCTTTTTATCTTTTAAATTCATAATGCGTGGTAATGAATTATTTTAATTGATTTAGCTGCGCACGCACACATTCGTAAGGGTCGATCGCTAGACGGCAACGTTGTTCACATTCAATTTGGGATAATTTAAAAAAAAAAGTACAAGCCTTATTTAATCGTATTTTCAATAACTGTATATCATTATTTATATACATATTTGAATGACATGAAATAAACAATTTGAATTTTTAATGTTTATGCATCATGTTTTATCCGCCAACATGAATTGCTCGACATCCCTTGCGAAAGTTAGGAGGTTCGTGCTAGGTTACTTTACATCATTACCGTCCACGTAATTATGTAGTGTATGTAACTCGATTACATACGAATATTGTAAGGCGATATCGTGACCTATCGATATTTTCGGCATAATTGCAGTACACACAAGTACAACGGTTGTTTAGTTACTTTCACTCGAGGCAGCTTCATTTCTGTCGAACAGTTTCTTGTAGTGCAATTGCTTACTGTATGTCCGCCCCATATCCGGGCTTCCGGACTGTTGAATGAAGTATGATGTGATTAATAATTATAAATGCAGCGTAGTACACATAAAAAAAGCGACATATCTGAGCTAAAGTATAGAGTTTTGTATGAGTTGGTTTATAGGATATAAATGTGATAATATGCAATATATGATATTAGATATAGAATAATATGAGATAATATATAAATGAATAAAATATTTGATTTGATCTGAGGATATGTTTCTTAATCAATTCTTTGTCGCACTCTTGACATCTTTGTTGTCGACATTTTTCATTTAACCATTTAAGTGAATAATCTTTATTGGATATTATAATATTATTAATATGTGATAATAAATGAGAGCAATAATTATGGTTAGAGCTAGGTTTCATAGGATTTAATAAGAGCCGTCGCAGTCAAGTTGTTAACAAATTTGAAGAGTCCGTGACGTAGTAGCTTAGCAATGAGTTACAGCGCAGGCCGCGGGTTCCAATCCCGCACGAAACAAGTATTTGTATGGCTTACAAGTAATTGTTCCGGGTCTGGATGTTTGTTCTTGTACAATTTATGTTTGTGAACTGCCTCCATAATACAGGAGAAAATCCTCGTGTGAGGGAGGGGTAACGTTTGTAAAATAAAAAAAAAATAAAAAAATCGATTTTTTTGATTAAAAATATAAATGTAAATTAATCTATATTTATACATAGAAATATATTGAATAAAACTATTATTTATGGATTTTATCGCGTTTAATTTATTTTTATTATTATTCCGACGTTTCGGGTGCTTTACAGCACCCATGGTCACGGGGGGGGGGACTGAGATGTTTTCTCACATCTCACATCAAACATCTCAGTCCCCCCAGTGACCATGTGAGTGCTTTAAAGCACCCGAAACGTCGGAATAATAATAAAAATAAATTAAAGTAATTAAACGCGATAAAATCCGTAAATAATAGTTTTATTCAATGTGTAGCGTTCGCGTAAATTTAAGAAATCATTACATAGAAATATAATTGAAATGTCTTTCTGTAATATTAAAATAACTGGTCCTTATCGAGTTCATAGGAGATATGAATAACCAGTTGTTAAATGTTTGTCTGTCTGTCTGCCTGCCAGGGCTGGTCTTCGGCACGGCTGAGCTGATTGTGATGGAACCTCACGAGCAGATAGAGAGCGACGCCAGGAGGGTTCTCTATGCTATATTTAATAAATAATAACCACCTGACCTTAATAGAAGTTAGTTATTTCAATGTGACAAACCGACACTTCTACTTTATTTATATGTATGGATTATTAAAAAAAAAACTAAATTACGCTGCATTAATAGGTCGCTAGTTCACATTATAAAATGTCGGTTTAGTGCCAAAAAAAGATAATCACAAACTCTAGGCCCGACTATAAAAAGTCCGGAGTGAAACTCGCATACCGGAAAGAAGACGGCAGAGCAACGTCTGCCGGGTCATGTGGTATACATTATAGTTTTACTTATGTTCCAGTGTTTAAATCAGTCGCTGTCAACGCTTTAGCCCGTCGGTGTTTGGGTATGGTTTCTTTGATACCACCTCTATTTAAAGATGTGAGGACATTGACATTGATTTTTAAGTTAGTTCAATGTGGCATAAAAAATTTAAGCGCTGTCGTCGGAAATTGGTGAAATTAAAAGTGTATATGTTATGGATCAAGTGTTTAATAGGACATTTTTCGTAATGTCCAGACAGTTTGAAAAATTCCCAATATAAGTAAGTAATATGTTAAAACTATTGCAGTAATTAAATTGCCCGGACTTTACCAATAACGCAGAGTAATAAAAAGATAGGTTAGTTTAGGTTATGACCGTAGAATACTATAATATATGTATTATAGTATTCTATGATTATGACCATACAATGTAATAAAATCTAAATCAGTATTAATAACAAAGTTCGAATTGACTTATCATTGTTCATATTGTCCGGGCATCATAAATAGTGCCCTCAGATGTAGTAAAAAATTACTTTATCTCAGATAGTGCCCTGATCAATTACTTGGTCCAAGAAATATACACTATGTTATTATTAAAAAAAAAAAAACAGGCAAGTGCGAGTATGATTGGCCTTGTTGGTTCCATATAAATTTAATTATGTACGTAGATAGTTCATTCATTCTGGTAATTCTGCTTCTTTCTTCTTTTTAAGAAAAAAATGTTATCTCACACTAAGATTTTCTCCTGTATCGTAGATGCAGTTTACATACATAAGTGATAAACATGATTCCTCTGGTATTGTAGCAGTCTAAGGGCGGCCGTCAGCATTTTAGTGGAGCAGCATGCTCGTTTGCTCCCTCTTCTAAAAAATAATAGTATAAAGACTCGGATTAATTATTTGTAGGCTATAGAAATACTTGTTCTGTGTGTAATTCGAACCCGCCGCCCTCAGTGCCGCTACTCAATGCATAGGATACATACCGAACATTGCTCTAATGATATTATTCATTCATTCATTATTCATTTATACCTGGTAGAGCTATACTCCAACTATATTCTGGTTGCAGCACGAATGGGTCGGCTCGACCAGGGAAGGACCACGCTCTCGCAGAATACCAGCGTAAAAAAGCATTTCAATGCTGCTGTGTTTCGTATGGTAAGTGTAGAGAACCGGAGACCCTTTTTGCTGGAAGCGAGGCATTCCATGTTAGCCCTTCAGGGGTGATAAAGCATCACGAGCATACAGTCCACCTGATAGTAAGTGGTTGCTGCGGCCCATAGACATCTACATCTATCCTCGATTACAAATAAAAATGCAGATGCTTTTTCACCCGTGAGGACTAAGATGGAATGCCTCGTTTCCAGTAAAAAGAGTCTCCGGTTCTCTATACTCACCATATGAAACACAGTAGCATTAAGCTACTATTTCACGCCGTTATTCTGTGAGAGCGTGGTCTTTCTTCGGCCGAACCGACCCATTCGTGCTACAACTATACTACTAATATAACTGCAGCGTGGCGCTCTGTATAATGATCCTTAATGGAGTATAAATGTAGTGCATGTAGAGATGCACAGCATCCACTTACCATCAGGTGGAGAGTGTGCTCGCTTGTCACCCTCATTCTATAAAAAAATTATTCATCACCGCTCATCAAAGTGTACTGAACTCAGGCCTCCCCATAGATCGCCTCATAAGAAGGATGTTTGCCATAGTTGGCGCGCTTGGCAGGTGGGTTTGTAACCGAGGTTGTTTTAGTTTTCTCATGGTACTAGGAAGACGCTGCTGCCCACCCGCTGGTTTGTGTCCCTTGGTCGGCTGTCGCGACACCCACCCACCCACAGGGCGACAGGGGACAATCACGGTTCATACAACGCCACTAAATGCACATGAGTATAAACACTCACGTTTGTCACCCAGAGGGGTAGCCAGAGACGACGGACTTTCAATTGGAACGATCATGATATGACACACTTCTCCTGCCTCCTTTACATCTATATGCCTAAGCACACATGCCCGTGGGTTAAGACGTCACATCGAAAAGGCTATCGCTCTACTGATCCGAGTGAACACATAATTTCTATAAAAATTTGAAAAAACGCCGTCATAAGGTCTAAAATTGCGTAGCGCCCGCGACGATTAAAATTGCTTAGAAATTGTCAGAATCTTAAAATATTTTTTTTAATAATTATTGATTTAAGTAATCAAAATAATGAACAAGTAAATTATGAATATTGATGTTATGAATATATATATATATATATATATATATATATATATATATATATATATATATATATATATATATATATATATATATATATATATATAGATTAAGTAATTTCGTTGTAACTTCGACTATAGTGATTTTTTAGAGGTGTTTTCACAAATAATTATGATCGAGTCAAAATTATACAATCGTGTTTTTGAACAATCAAATTCAAGATAAGGACATGAATTTACCTATATTAAAATTCCACTTTCGTTATTGGTGTCATAGTCCTATACTATTCGATGAAAGGAGGTGCATTTTTACACGGTGTCGCCTTAAAAGTACTTTTCAATATCCAAATTGGGCGTCTAGGGCGACCCTTGCCGACTCCACCATTTTTACTTGTGCAGCCTAAATTTGCTTTGTCATTTTACTTTGTCTCTTTTCTTATTCATTTGAATTTAAAGTATACATGTATTAAAAGTACGTTTCTAATCGCAAAAAGTATGTATATTTTTATGTGATACAACTAATTAACGATTTTCGTTTTTTTTTCTTTTGTTTGTGCTTGCTGTTTCTCGTCAAATGATTTTAGATTAACGGGAAGTGCCCTATAAGTTTTAATGAGTAAATTTATTTTTTCGTAAATTTGCAAGTATCAAAATATGTATCATAAATGATCGTAACTTTTAATTGTGTTCACTTGGAATCTTGAATTTTTCACACCTCTTAGCGACAATAGACCCTGGGAAGACCCTAGTATTTAATATTCAACTATATACCTTTATCCGATCCTAATAAAAAGAGTCTAAACGTGATCCTATAAGGGTTCCGTTTTTTCTTTAGACGTATGGAACACTACACCATAACCTAAATACATTTTTAAATATATAGAATTGTAAAAAATATTCCATTATTATTATTTTTCCCTTGATGGATGGATGTGAATGGAGAGAATGGATTGTGTTGAGAGTTCATATTTGTAAGTACAAATTGCAACATATCTCCACGTTTTAAGGCTAGTGGCGCAACAAAGGTTTGAAGTTACACGTGTCCCTGGCTACAGAAGCCACACCAGGTGGAAAGGAAAGTTCGTTTGTCGGGGGCCGTGAAGTCTTCTTGATATTTTTATCACCTATGTATTTTATTAAGAACTGTCATATGGCTTTTTTAAAGAATTAGAACGATAATCGAGCACGCACTCCACGTGCTGGTAACTAGACTCTGTAGCTCCTAGGCATCTTCGATTAAGAATCAAAATGCTGCGTTATGATTCCTGAGGACTAAGATGGAACGTCTCGTTTCCAGTAAAAAGGGTTCTCCGGTTTGCTTTACTCATCATACAAAACACAGCGACATTAGTTGCTATTTACGCTGGTCTTCTGTAATAATATGGTCCGTCCCCGGTCGACATTCGTGCTAGAACCATAATATAGATGCATCGTGGCTAAACCAACTGTAAGCCAAAATACTATTGCTCAATGACCTTGATGCAACCAGCAATTGTACGAGCACGCTCATTAAATTTATCAGTTTTGTAATTTTACTATCACATAACTTTATTATTTCAGTCTCCGCAAAGAAAGATAAAATCTGCGGACAAGCACGAGCCGAAGAAGCTTGGGAAGGGCAGCGGCGGGAAGTCCAAGCAGCCTAAACGCCATGACTCCTCTAATTCCGGTAAGATTTGGGCTTGCCTTTTTTCCCTTTAACTTCACAACCTGTAATTTAATTACTCCTCTTATACAACTCTTATACAAGTCGAATACTGTAGTGGACTGACATCTGATTACTAAGAGAAATATATGAGTATGGTGTTGACTCAGACGGAATTATTGATGAAAAAAGAGCTTAATAACAACTTGAAAAGTAATAATGATGAACGAGCACGCAGTCTACCCGATAGTACTGTCCTGTGCCGATGGTAAGTGGATGTTGTGGCCCAAGACATTTACGTCTACCCTGGATTAAGAATCAAAATACAGATGCGTTGTCACCCTTGAGAACTAAGATGGAATGTCTCGTTTCCAGTAAAAAGTGTCTCCGGTTCCTACACTCGCCATAGGAAACACAGCAGCTTAGGCTGCTATTTTACGTTAGTGCTCTGTGGAATCGTGGTCCTTCCCCGGTCGAGCCGACCCATTTGTGCTACAACCATGATATAGCTGCAGCCTGGCTCTACCATGTATACAGGATAGTGTATAAATACAATAGATATTATGATTCTCTATGATTGCTATTAATACGCTCTCATTTGCTTTACCGGTATCTATTTATGCAATGGAATTTTATAATTTAGATTTTCTATCACTTCCGGTGGTACCAAATAATCTGATATTTTGCAGACGTATTTCACTATGACCCAGTTTTCATACCAAGGTGATCACAACTCATGATCAAGGCGTGTACCTAATTATTTTTAGTTGGTAATACCTTCAACTTGTATTGGATTTGTTTTATACTATGAGTGGTTGATTTTTCATTCATCTTATAAATATTATTCTTATGATAAAATACAACTTAAACAAATTAAGATTACACTAGTCATATGAATATTCAGTCTTTTGTATTCAGTCATAATATATATATATATATATATATATATATATATATATATATATATATATATATAATAATTTCAATAAGCTAGCCAATGAGTTTGACTTCGATTTGTTTAACACTTGTGCTGCGTCAGCTAGGCGCATACTTAACAATGCATTTTTTGGTAGCTCTAAGTGAGATATTGATGGGTTGCTACACAACTATGATTTACTTTTGTATTTGTGTTTATTTTTCTCTTAAAATAGCTGGTAGTGTTATTGACTGTCCTAAGTATGAGTTGATTGTCTTTTATATGTATAATACAAGTTTAGCTCTCATTTGGCATAAATATGTTGTATTGGATACTTTCGAGTGTTAAATCGTATTTATCACTGTTGTAAATTCACCTTTGGATCTATTAGTGAGGATCTTTAATTGGCTTACTTTTGTTATTAATTACTATCTATCCTAATTATGATAGCTGTTGGTCCTCCAAATAAAAAAAATAATAAATAAAAATAAAATATATATATCGCGCCTTCATTTCAGACGTACGTGAAGGCGAATATTATTCGGGTCGGATTTATGAGTAATTGATTTTAAACTAACCTCCCGATTTGCCAGATTTGAAATTTTAAACGTACTCGTAGCACAGAATCGGATGACAATGTAAGAATATGAAGAAAAAAAACGTACCTCTATTAAAAAATTAAAACATAATTTTTCTAACGGTAGAAATGAAACCTTATGAAGAGGACACCGAGATAGTAGGAAATATATTGTACACTGTATTCTATCATTTTATCGCAGTCTATTTGTATGTTTGTTTTTTTTTAGTTTCAAATCACAACGATTTTCAAGAAGTTTTCTCTTCAAAAATAATAACACACTTTACATTTGTTTGTGTTTGTTTTATAATCCTTTGATATGTTAGGAATACACCTGAGTTAACCGCACGAAAATTTCAAATGTTCTTTTAGTTTGTGAACCGATAAAAAGGTATGTTGCGTTGCGGATACGGTGAGCTACTTACGAATCCGTTAATATGTTGTATTGTACATTCCTAAACATTAACCGCGTAGTGTACCGTTTCTCACCACAGTCTAATTACTTTCACATACCACCTTTGTAATCTAGCGCAGTCTTCACCACCGTGTGAAGTCCATCGTCCACTGCAATGTACTCTGTAATCCACTGCTGCCATATATCAATCCAAAGACGCGACTGGCATTGAAACACGAGACTCGAAACAATGTTAATGAAATTACTTAAATAACTACTACACTTCTCTTAATTTTATTTTATTTGAGTTCTTAAAACAGGTATTGTAATGTTGTATAAACCTACATTATATATAAGGCTTGTATTTAATTTTAATTTAAATGTATCAACTTTCGTTCGATCCCTGGTCGTGTGAGGTTAATCGAATGACATTACCCTCGTGTATAGTACGAGACATACATAACTCGTTCAGCACTTTCTGCGCTCTCGGGTGGAGAATATGCGTACGCTTTAATACGGGTATATCGTACGCCTCTTCAAGACTGCACGCTCAAGTACGCCCTTCTCCGTCACAATGATCTTTGTTGATGGAATACATATATACAATTATACAAAGGAGAGAATTTGTCTCCTACCAGCTCGTGGTTTAATAGTTCTTCTAATAGTCTCAGAGAAGCTTTCATTTGAAGTTAGTCCTCAGAGGTGATAACGCATTTGTATTTTGATACTTAATAATGGATAGATTTAGGTATTTATAGACAACACCATCCACTTACCATCAGGCGGACTGTGTGCATCTTTGTTATTCTCACATGTATAAAAAAAGAGTTGATTACATTAGTCTCAAACTACAGCGCTCAGAAAAACTTCGTAATAAACCGTACATTATCAGAAACAGGGGTTAACATCAGTGTCTGGTTGTTCAAGAAAACAGAACACATGCTATTGTGTTCCAATCTAAAAAGTTCAAAAAATCCGTGATATTTATAGGTTGAGAGATATTTCATTAAAGTCTTCAGAAATGAAGACGCAAGCATTTTTACCGTTTTTTTAATAAAATTGAATTGACTGTAATAGTCCAGGTCACCCGGTAGTAGCCACTGCAGCTCAGGGAGTGTTGCACACCGACTTCAAATCACGATAGCTACAGATGCGTTTACGCGTCTACAGGCCGCACGGCCTGAATTGTACCGGTTCTCTTTACACTTCATACTCGAATACAGCAGATATTAGTAAGATGGTGTTACCTGGTTTCAGGTTTTCATACATTGCGGCAACCACTCATCACGGGATAAAATGTTGGCTTTTTGTTAATTTAATACGGCTCCGTGGTGCAGTGGCTTAGCAATAAGTGGATGCGCTGCGGGCTGCGGGTTCGAATCCCGCACGGAACAAGTATTTGTATGGCCTACAAATAATTGTTCCGGGTCTGGATGTTTGTCCTTGTGCAATTTATGTATGTAAACTGTCTTACGATATAGGAAAAAATTATATTTTTTATTAAAGGGAGGGGGTGGGGGGACAAACGCGGTTCACCTGATGCTAAGTGACTACCGCCGCGCATGAACAAACGCAAAACCAGGGTGATTGCAGTTGCGTTGCCGGTCTTTTAAAAAGGAGTAAGTTCTTTTCTTGAAGGTCCCTAAGTTGTATCGGTCCGGATAATATTGCCGGTGGTAAACAATTCCACAGAGAAGTTATTCGAGGAAGAAAACTAGTAAAACGCGCAGTGGTGGACCGCCAAACATCCAGATGGAGGATGGTATCTTGAATTTTGACGCGATGTGCGTTCATGAAATTTAGCGGCTGGGATTAATCCGAGTAATTCCTCAGAGCACTCCCCGTGGTAGATGCGATAGATAGGATATGAAGGATGCAACATCCCTACGCAGCGCCAGTGAATCGAGCCGATCAGAAAGAACTCGGTCGACGACGATTCGAACCGCTCTGCGCTGGATGCGGTGAAGTCGAAGGAGCTGGAATTGGGGAGCCCCAGCCCAGAGATGAGAACAGTATTCCATGTGATGTTGAACTTGCGCTTTGTAAAGTTGGAAGCGATGCCTGCGCATGAAATAATGTTTCACTCTGCTGAGCACGCCAAGCTCTTTAGACGCCAATTTGGTCTTCCATTCCAAATGACAACGAAACTGTACTACACTATGCGATATGTTGACGCCGAGGATTCCGATGCTAGCTGAGGCAGCAAGGAGGGTACTTGAAATTGAGGAAGTACGAAATAGGGGTTCTTTTTAGCGGTAAACGCGCAAACTTGTGTCTTCTAGGGATTGAATTGGACTAGATTTAGTCGCCCCCAATCCGTGACTTTGTTCAGCAAAGACACAATTTTGTCCCGGTACTCGGCCACGTTTTTCCGAGAAATATTGACACGGCCGGTGTATAAGGCATCACCAGTGCTGTCTTCTTGCATAGTAATGAATGTTACCAGTTTGCAACATTTCATTGCTATGCAGAAGAAACAGCGTTGGTGACAGCACGTAGTCTTGTGGAGCAACAGCGTTTATAGGCTTGTAATCAGAGCATGCACCGTCTACTACGACCTCGATGCACGGATCAGTAAAAAAACTGATGATCCAATTGCACAGTTTCTCGGGAAGCTCATAGGAAAGGAGCTTCGAAAGAAGCGCTTTGTGCCAGACCTTGTCGAAAGCCTTCGCTAACTCATTCTAGTGTAGGGGTAACGTTTTTTTATTACAACAAATAAAAAACTGATATCAGATTCGGAGAGCGGCGAGGAGGTGGAGAATAGAGAGCTGGTGGTGGGCAGCGGGGTAGGGCGGAAGCGGGGGGTGGTGATCCCGGCCGAAGGCGCCTATGACCCAAAGCAGTTTCAGGATCTAAAAGTTCCACCAGAAATGGAGAACATATTTCAGTACATTATGAAGTAAGTTTGTTTTACAACGTTTATTTAGTAAAAAAAATTATGGGATCTTTATGTATGTATGTCAACCTCACATGTATATAGCACACCATGCTGTCCACTGGTGATTAAAACGCCACAACTGTTGACGAAAAGCAGAAAGCAGTCTTCATGCGTTCAAAAAGCCTGATAATGCGTCGTTTAGGAACGAAACACATGTTATATTATCGATGGTGGTATGTCTTTTCTAGTTTAATGGTGTTATGGTTTGTGGTGACAGTGACAGTGGAAGGTACACTACACTACACAATACATGTAATTGTGGAAGGGATGGAGGTGTTTCTTGAACTAAATAATATTACACTATTTTATTTCTCACGCGGTACTTTATAATATTGGTATATACAAATTGAATTACAATGAGTATCATCATACCCACTTGGTAGAACCACGCTGCAGCGATATGTATTATGGCTGCAGTATGGTTGGGTCAGTTCGACACGGGAATGATCACGCAATCACAGAATACCACCGTAAAGCCGGCTATACATGTTGGGCGAGTGAAGGCGAGTACCAACATGTAGACACCCCATTTGTCCAGCCTCGCCATTGCTTCCCGTCGCTCGCCTAGCTGGCCGAGTGCAGGCGAGCGCAAACGAGTATACGGTTCGTTTGGCATGCCTTGCCACCACTCGGTATCGCTCGCCACGACTCGTCTCACTTCGGAATGGTGTCGGTTTTTCTGAACAAATCAAAGGCGCTCGCCTGCAGTCGCCATGTCGTGTCAACATGTTAGTATGTTCACTCATTCAAACTTGGCCAACATGCAGATTGTATCACTCGGCTTTTATCAATTTGCCTACGCTCGCGTTGGGTAAAGCTTGGCTGAAATGTATTGCCGGCTTGAAATAGTAGCTTAATGCTGCCGTGCTTCGTATAGTGAGTGAAGAAAACCGGAGACCCTATATTGCTGGAAACGAGGCATTCTATCTTAGTCTTCTGGGTGACAGCGCATCTATATTCTGATTTATATTCGAATATAAATATAGGTGTCTATGGGCCACAGCACTAACTTCAGGCGGAACGTGTTCCTTTGTCATACTTATTCTATATAAAAAGAGTTCTTGAGGTTGTTGCTTTACGTCTTTGTTAATCAAATAATAAATAAAAAATTTTGACATTTAGTCTAACTGAATTTTCGCGTCTTATGTTTTACGACTATCATCACATTAAGCTTTATGGGGATCAAACACGTTTGAATTAGAGTCGTGCGCATGTCATAATAAAAATGCAATTTAACTGCATTAGCTTGTGATCTAATAATACGAGTGGTGGAAGGCCGCGTGGGCGGCAGTTCGCGGCCGTTAACAAATCAACCAGGAATGGTTGTTCATATTGTGCCCTGATTTTGTTAGCGTTCTTCAATGCATATCTTGAGTTATAAATTTGTTGTTTTGTAAATAAAAATGAGTTACAAATTAGCACAGAGTCCTCCTGATGGTAATTGGATGCTGTGGTCGGTACATTTATTCTCGATTGACCCTTGTCACTGCTGGGCTGCAATAATGTTGCAATATCTCCTTCTGTCGGCAGGTACACCCCCCAGAAGATAGAGCTAGAGGCACGGTTGCGCGCGTTTGTGCCGGAGTGCGTGCCGGCGGTGGGCGACTGCGACGCGTTGCTCAAGCTGAGCACGCCGCTCGCCGCGCCGCGCGCCACGCCGCTCGACGAGCATGTGCTCGCGCACATTGACAATTTGGGTTCGCATCTGTTTAAAGCCGATTTCAATTATTCTTTTTATATTAAATAAGTCATGTTTCGTGAATGAATACATCATTAAAAAATTATAGTAAAATAAATAAAACTAAAAACTTAAATTGTCATACAGTCCTTCTCCCCGCTGTATATTCTGGCTGCATTTCTTCGTTGAATGGCTGGTTATAATTGGCCTTTGAGCGAGAGAAGAACCAGCCCTCTTATCACCAGTAGCGACGACCAGTCGTGGTTACAGTTCCTTTACGAACTTCACCGCACATGGACCCCACGAACCTACAGCAGTAGTATAGTAGCGCAAAAATATGTAGTCACCTCTCATGGACTCGTACTTACCTGACCTACTTAGTTCGCCTTTCTGTGTTTGTCCTGTGTTTGTTCTGTGTTTGTTCTGTGTTTGTTCTGTGTTTGTTCTGTGTTTGTTCTGTGTTTGTTCTGTCATGTTTGTTCTGTGTTTGTTCTGTGTTTGTTCTGTGTTTGTTCTGTGTTTGTTCTGTGTTTGTTCTGTGTTTGTTCTGTGTTTGTTCTGTGTTTGTTCTGTGTTTGTTCTGTGTTTGTTCTGTGTTTGTTCTGTGTTCGACGTCGCCGGGCGCAAGCAATGCTATACTCGTGCTCCGGAACTATTGTCCCTATTGTTATTGCCTGTGTAAAAGGGAAAATGGACGGGCGAAGTGTTTAATGTAATTATTTAGACAACTTTATAGTTGTTTGTGTTTTTCCATACGATTACTATGTGGGTGTATTCAAGACAAAAATGAATAAGGTTTTGCTAAGTCAGTGCGCTTCACCATCTTCGGCTACATCACTACTTACCATCAGGTGGTATAGTAATCTAGCGCTTGCTGATAATAGCGTATGTGAGGGTAGTTCGGTCATGCGGTTAATATTGTCACTTTCTTATAACTTAAAACCTACAGCCCTGTTTGCATAGATAGCTTTGTGATAAAATATCTCTTCATCGGTCAATCAAATAATAAGGGGTCATAAGGGCACTGCTTTATCGACACCACTTTGACAGTTGATAGTACAGTAAATACGGTCATTAACTGTTTTTTTAAAGTTGATTTTTCAAAATGTTTCTAATTATTGCCAAAGCTTTTTGCTATTTTGTTCTCATAATACTTATAGTATAAGACTTTGTGTTTTTGTCCCTGTCTTCGTCCTAGTTTTGGTTTTATAGGGTGGCAAACCATAAAGTGACCATATTATATATTTATGTACAAAAAAACCGTCGAGTATTACGGGACGCATAGTGTCTGTCGATGCAGGTCTGACGATCCTGGACGAGCCGGCCGCTGAGCAGAGCGAGCCAGCACTGCTGCACCTGCAGCTCAGAGCCATCTCCAAGACAGCTGGCGGGAAAACCACGGTATTGATAACCGCAGCATAATATACCTGTTCTTGATATAACACGACAGCCGAAATAGGCGATAGAAAATACTTTATTTAACTGGTTTTGACGTGAATATGTCTTTAAATTACCTTCCATCGTCATCATCATCACAAGTCCACTGCTGAACATAGGCCTCGCCCAAGGGATGCCACGAAGTACGGTACTGAACGACCTGCATCCATCGATTTCCTGAATGTCTTACCAGGTCATAACTCCATCTACTGGGGTCGTTTACACTACGTCTATCGGTACGAGGCTGCTACTCGAGAACCTTTTTTATTTATTAATTTATGCTTTCATGCACAAAGTAGTACATATGACGGACTAAATGCCATAGGGAATTCTCTCCCAGTCAACCATTAGGCTAAACAGAAATAGACATATTGCAGGCGGCTATATACACATAAATACATACTTCACACATATATATATATATACCTACACAAGGTACGTATAAATATTATCTATGTCAGAACAAATATGAAATATATACGAAAAAAGAGCTGTGTTAGTTCAAACTTGCAACGATTTAATCACATACTTACGGACTTGATTTTTATTATTTATACTTATTTTTAAAACGAATTCGTTGGGAGCTTTTTTAATGTCAAGAGAGATGTCATTCCAGAGTCTGATGGCCGTGAGGGCGAAAGAGTGAGATAAATAATCAGTACGGTGTAAAGGAGTGAGCAACTTAAGATTGGCCGAGGAACGGAGAGAAAAATTACGAAAACCATTATTTATTAATTACCAGGATGCTGTGGCCCATAGAAATCTACATCTATCCTCGATTAGCAGCTTTAACTTGCCCCGGTCGAGCAGATCTATCGTGTTTAAACCATAATATGGGTCTATCACGTTAAAAGCTGTCTGCTAACTTCTTTATATACTCGTATATATATAATATTATGATGTAACGGCTTGACCGAGGAGTGTGAGAGCGAGCGAGCGAGCAAGATTGTGAGAGCGTGATCCTTCCACGTTCTCACAATACCTACCAGCGTTAAATAGCAACTTAATGTTACTGTTTTGGTGTACTAAGTGTAGAACCGGACCATTATTAACGGTAAGAGGGTTTACAAAATATCTGCAAATAAACCTGTGATCTCTCGCCGACGTCCTGGTGAAGTGCGGTTAACTGTTCATTTAGTTCATGAGCCGATTGGTAACGTACAAACGTTTTATCCTCTATTATCCTTTTGTATTTCATAAATCTTATTTCCTTTACTTTCATATTAACAGAGCGAATTTCATCTTAGTGTTTTGGAGGTGGTCAACGATTTTGATTCTTAATCGAGGATAAATCTAAGTATCAATGAGGTTCAGCATTTACTTATTTCTACTAAAAAAAGAAACTATATTTTAGTGGAAAGTGAGGGTGGAGAATTCTCTACACAAGTTTTTTATACTATAGTTGAAAGATACAAAATTAATTATTTAATTCATCGTCTTTTCCCAGCCATATATTGCCTCACAGGGAGATGTGCTATAGTTGGCACGCGTCGCAGACGGGTTGCCACCTGCGGTTTTTATTAATTTTAGTTGTTATCAGGAAGATGCTGCTGCGGATCTTCCTTTTCAATTTCCCCTGTCGCCTCTCACGACACCCACACGAAATGACGAATGATGAATATGATGCAGTGAACATTCTTACACCGCCACTAACATTTAGGCTTTAATTAAGAATTTTTTTATGGCAGTTGACGAAAAAAATTGAGGAAGCGGAGAAGAATCCGAAAGCGATCGAGCGCTGGATCAAGGACGTGAGCGAGCTACACGCGGCCAAGCCGCCGCCCACCGTTACGTACACCAGGTATAATTGCCGATAGGCCTTGCATTTGAATAATATACCTTGTCCGAATATTCGAATATTCAACTCATTTTCTGAAAGCCAAACTCGGAATATTTTCGTGCACAAAATATTACTTTTAAAGTTAGAGCGCGACATTATTTAATTATTACGACACAACAATTAAAAGTGATATGAAGAAAGGATTGGAGAAATTAAAGGCCCAGGAAATAAATTTTCCGCTTCCCTAGACGAATGGATTTCAGCTGGTAACTGACGTTACATGAACATTTAACATTTATTGTTCAAAGTTTCAAGGCAAGGGATATAGGAATCTGAGACTAGTGACAATAAGTGGCAGGGCAGCGGAAGAGCATTGTGCTAATATTTTGAAGGGCAAGCATCCTATGATCTATCTTTCGAAGAGGACATAGCATGCATAGTGACTGACGGAGCAAGCGTGATGTGTGCTAAGGGTCGACAAGTGCCTTCGTACAATCAATTATGTTCCGCACATGGTATCCCAAAATACAGTGCTGGATGCTAAATACAAAAAGAATCAAGATGAGCTAGAAGAAGAAGGGGAAGAATCTGTAGAAAACAAAGAAGAGAAAAATGAGGGTACTGACTCTTAGTAATAGTGAAGAAGGGTTTGTCGAGGATTTGTAGTTAAGCAATATCTAAACAGAAACCGAGACCGACATTTAAACAGAGATGTGAATTTAAAAAATGTTATAGAGAAATTGCTAAAAGTAGTAAAATTTTTAGGAAGTCACTCACCAGAAAAGAGATTCTCGATAACTATCTTCAAGAAGAACTGAATAAAATGGGTTTGATCCTATACTGTAAAACCAGGTGGAGCAGTTTAGCCGATATGATTACAAGATTTTGGCGTTTAAAGACTCTATTTTGAAGATTCTTATTGATTTAAAGTACGATACCACGTTTAGTTTAGGCGAGCAACTTATTGCAAAGGCAACAGTAGAGGCGCTGCGCTATGCAAGAAGCCCTTCAACTTATGGTTGCGTAAATTAAAAAGACGAACAGTTTTTTTTAATGTCAGGCTACTCGAAGCTCTGAAGAATAGAATTGCTCAGAGACGCCTACCAAATTTAATATGCACATTAAAATATCTCCACAATATCAATAAATATTACCTTAATCTATCTTTCCATTACCAGGCAATAACATTATTACAGAAGTAATAACTGAAATTACCGAGAGATACTTTTCTAAAAGACAGAACTCTGATGATGACGAAGATGACATAACCTTAGTTCAACTTCAGCAGCAGCAACGACAGCATCAGCAACAAAACGAGCCATACCAGGGCACATCTGAAATGAGCTTGCAGGAAGAGGTACAAGAAATGATAAATAACACTAATTCCGCAACTCCTTCGATGTTTACAGCAAATTTATCAGATAGAGATAAGTTAGAAACGTCAGTGCGAACGCAGATGGCGCTATTTAACAGAGGTCCTAGCGTATGACTTTCTTGTGTGTGTATACCAACTAAAAGTAAAGAGCGTGAAAGGGTGTTTTCATCAGCAAAATACATTTGCAACCATTTAAGATGCGCTTTAAAATATGATTCCTTAGACGCGCTAAGTCTCCTTAAGTCCCACTTACAAGGAAAACGTTGAAGTTTTTTTTTCAATGTAGGATAGGCTTGCACTTCAAGTGTAAGTTTTTTTGTAGAACTGCATTAGTGCCATAACAGTGTAATTACAAACAGCTATTTAAGGTTTTACTATGATTTGGTTCTGATTCAGAGAAATTAGACTCTAAGTAAGAGATCGGCAATTAAAAACATGATAATAATTATGACAGCTTTTGTTTTTCTTTAATTATTCGAATATTATTCGAATAATTTGAATAATACCCGATAAAAGTCGAATATTCGAATACCAAAAATTTTCGAATATTTGCAAGTCCTAATTGCCGACATAAGTCGTGATAACACTTTTTATTGGTCGATAAGACGTTGCCCACGCTGACGTTCAACGTAACTTAATTGGTTTAGAACGTATCATTCGGCTTCCATACACTTCAGAGCAATAATTTTAGTGATAACTTTTTGAATTAGTTTATTTTCGTTAGCTCGTTGTTATTTGTTATTTATGTATTACTTGTTATTAATTGTTTTTGTTATTTCTTGTTTTTAATTATTTTTGTTGTTATAATTTGAGTGTTCAGATTTTGGTCTAAATATGCAGAGAAGGAAGAATTCGGTGTTAAATAGACAATCCCGACAAATGATGTATTCAGTGTTTAGTTACATGAAAAATTAGGTACTGCGAAAAACATCATAGACGTATATAAACAGATTGCTGAGGCGACTAATAACTCAGTAGCTGCTGTACGGCACACCGCAACACCAGATTTTATGGAAGGCATATCACCTCTTCCTTCTTCTTAATAAAATAATCAATTCTAACCACCAGGTATACATTAAGCACTTTATAGTAGATAATAAAATAATGGACACGAATATCTGCAACATTACTGTATCAAAGTAAAAGTTGATGTGTTCGAGTAAACATTTTCATAAAAGTCGGCGAAAATATTCAATTACGAATTGAAATAATAAAGGTACCCAATGATTTTGCCCGACAGTGTACCTACCTCCCACCACAGTTTATCTGTGCCGGTCGCTATCCTTACAATCTGTCTGCACAATTTTTCATTATCACCAATTCTATAAAAGTTTTAACGAAAGCAGGTATGTATAGTAACATACATATACATACATAAACACTCACGCCTGTCACCCAGAGGGGTAGGCAGAGATTTCGGACTTCCATTTGGCACGATCTTGATACACCTCTCTTGCCTCCTTTACATCCATATCTACGTATTAATACTCGTCGGGTAAGAGTTACTCTTAATTTGACCCATTTTAAATATATCGCTAATTTGGTCGATAAATTTTCGACTTGAGCGTTCATTCCCGACTGCCGTTCACTTCTGCAACATAGATTTGCTTTGTTAACCTTTCCTCGTTTATACTTTCTGCAGACCAATCAACCGAAACATTCCTTTTTTAATCGTGGTCGCAACTTAATCTTGCAAACCACACTCTTCTCTTATCACACAATTTCTCATCCTGTCATTGAGATTCAGCTCTGACATACTACTTAATGATTGCATTTCTACTGCACTTATTCCACTCTCGTGCTTCTTCTGCCACACCCAATATGGACTACTATGCATTAAAGTAGCAACTAACACAGCATTGTGAATTCTCATACGTGCCTTTTTTGACAGAAAAGAGACTTTCCACAATACTGTGTGACTATTACTCTATTTCTTGCGTTCACGCGTTGTTCTATATCCTTATCATAGCTACCATCCCTGTTAAATAGACATCCCAAATACACAAACTATCCATTTGCTTAACCATAGCTTTAGTATTAATTGACGTTAGAATAGACTGGCAATGAAAAAATGCAAAAATGCGAGAAATATAGGCTAGACCATTCATGTACACGCTATAGGCCTGTATCGGCCTGGCGTCATTCATGAACAAAACAAATCCTGATTGTATTTAAATAATCCCAGGTTTTATAGTAAAAAAATGTTTAATAGACGTATTTAATTATGAATATATGCGTAGTACTTAAATATAACTCATCTTAAAGAAATTCTACATTATTATACATTTAACCCGTAGGTACGGTTGAAATGTTTAGCTGTCTAAACGCTGTGTTTTAGCTGGTGCATACAGTTTGTACTTAAATAGATAGGAAAATTATCACATTTTATAATAGTCATCTAAATGCAAAGAAGTAAGTGTATACTGTAGCAGATTTTCATAAAATATTGATGTTCAACAAAAATGGTGGAAATTAATAAGTGGAGAACGGGTTCCCAAACGAAAATATTCGCCTATGCGTATATTACGCAGCAAGTACTTTGAAGAAAATGTTTTTCTCATAGATGTGCCCATCGTGTAGTGGCGGTGTAAGAGTATCCACTAAGTAATGTCATTTCATGGACGTCGTGAGAGGCGACGGAGAGAAACAGATCTGGAGATGTGCAGCAGCGGCTTCTTAATAACGATTAAAAATGAGAAACTTGCGGCCACCCGCCTGCCGAGCGTGCCACTATGTTAAACATTCCACCTATGAAGCGATCGGGGGAGGCCTGAGTTCAACAGTGGACTGTTACCTAGATATTGAAATTTATTTTATTTTTAGAATTTTTAACTTTCCTCCAGTAATGATTTCTTATATTTACGCGAACACTACACATTGATTAAAAACTACTTTTACGGATTTTATCGCGTTTTATTTATTTTATTTTTAACATCCGACGTTTCGGATGCTTTCCAGCACCCATGGTCACGGGGGACTGAGGTGACTGACGTCCCAATGTCAAAGTTAACACGGAGTACCTTCAGCTTTTTTTAATTATTGTCTTTGGTCCGATCTACGCAGAATGAACTATAGGCCGTCCGTGCAGTCCGCGTCCACGGGGTACAGGGTGGACGGGGACGAGGTAGCACGCAGCTCGTCCACGAGGCCACACCCACGAGGCCACCCACGGATACACACGTAGGGATTTGGGATCGAGTTATCTTGAGATTAATATTGATTTATTTAAATTTATTACGAAGTATTTGGTGATGCTGAACGGATTTTCGTGCGGTTTTCTTCAATAAACGGAGTGGTTCATGAGGAAGCTTTGCAAAATCTAGTACAAGTATAAAATGTAATGAACGCCGAAAGTAGAAGGAAAATTGGAAAATAAAAGATTTTTCATCGAATAATAGTAATAATATTTATTATAAATAAGAAAGTAATAATTTTTTTTTACACTTTAGAACTGGGACACTACGTCGTATCACTCCTAAAGTGAAACTATCTACTTCAGTTCGCTTTTCGGGAAACAAGATTTTTCTGGGAGATCTGAACTTGAAAGGAACAGCAGTGTCATCCATTGTATTTCTTACACTGACAATTCTTCTTATTGTTCTTTCCGAGAGCCCTGTTGCTACAAACACGGTTTTTGCCAAATTAATATCGTTCTGGTATTCTTGGGATAATTTATCTTTTTTACGCTCTTTAAAATACATGTCTATGTTATACACAATTTCTTTTGATTCTCGTCCAATCGGTTTGCTCATCTTCGGATCGTAATCTCGTGTGCGTCTAGTATACAAGTAACCGTTTCAAGCGACCACCGGCGACTGGCGCTCCTGAGCACGCGGCGTGCTCGCTCGCCCTCCCGCATATCGCTCGCTTCCCCTTTGAGATCGTTTTACCTCGTTCTTGCCAACCCCTGTAGCCCCGCGGGCGCGGACTGCACGAAGTTGACAGCCTATAACTGTGTTTTGAAGTCTTGCAGTGGTATGCTTGGGTTTAGTTTTAATTTTGTTAATTATAGGATCCCAAGCGGGTGGTAGTACCCAGCCTCCTTCTCTATTGAAATTTGGATGTTTTTTTAATTTCAATAGCCTCACGTATCATCCTTGGTAGGAATCGATGTTCTTTCATGAGTATTTGTGGTCTATCAAATCTGATGTAATGGTTGGGGCCGTCTAGGATAAGATCGCAATCTGCAGACTTCCTATTCTGCTCGTATATGTCACATATCGTTTTACATTCTTTCCTTTCAAAAACCATTATTTTCGCCTTACTTGCTTTAACTTTCATTCCCGTTTCTTTTAATAAACTGTTCATTAACGTAGCCATCATTTGTAACTCGGCCCCCGACGACGCAAATATGACTTGATCATCGGCATAGAAAAGGCATAGACAGTAACTCACCCATTTTCAATCCACATTCTTCAACTTTCAGTTTCCAAACAACTGTCCGTAAATAGGTTGGACAGCCACGGAGAAGCCACGCAGTCCTGTCTGACACCTCTATGGATTCTAGACTAGTACGAGTAGGCCCCGTTGATCGTGACGCAAGGCAGTTAAGACAAGAGTCCCCTTCGCTCAACCCAAATGAGTTTAGTATTTGCCATAACCCATCCCTGTAATTTTTGGTTTTTGGCTAAATACTAATCCGCAATCATGCGCATGGAAAAGACTGGATCAGAACATAAATATAGGTACTTTTAAAAATATGTTTTTTTTTAAAGTTATAAGACTCATACTACTATAAAATATGTGAATTATATAAACGGTTTAAGGTCCTCCACCTTGTTTTGGAAGGTGTATAAAATATTATAATGTTTAATAAATGTAATTTTTAAAAGTTCTGGGTATACCTACGTTCTTCATCATTATCATCATTATAGATCTTCACAAGTCCTCTGCTGAACATATGCCTCCCCCCGAGTAATGCCACAAAGCACGGTCCTGAGCCACCTGCAACCATCGACTTTCTGCATATTTTACCAAATCATCACGGAATACGTCCTTAAAGAAAGTAAACTTTATTCGAAACATCATTCATCACGCTGCTTTATAAAAACATATAAGCGTTAATTATCATCCTTTGATATGAATATATCATATCAAAGGATGTTTGACCGCGTCTTGAAGGGATTTTATTTTGGTGATTGATTTCGCGTTTCATTTCAAGTTTTATATATATATATATTTACAAGAATTGCTCGTTTAAAGTTATACATATATTTAAATCATAACTGAATAATATATATAATAATCCTTTTTAATGGAAACAGGGCATTCCTTCTTAGTCCTCAGGGGTGACAATGTATCTGCATTTTAATTCTTAATCAAGGATAAATGTAGATACTAGGCCACAGCATCTACTGACTGGACTGAATGCTTGATTGTGACCCTTATTCTATAAAAATGGCAAAGTTGAACAGGTATCTTTTATCGCTTTAGAAAAATGCCGGACATAGATAGCCTGATGGAGGAGTGGCCAGAGGCGATGGAGGAAGCCCTCAACGAGGTGGGCTTCCCCCCGGCCAGTTTGGACTGCAGCCTCTCGCAGTACGTGGAGCTGGTGTGCGCACTCCTGGACGTGCCGCTGCACGAGCGCACGCTGCACGACAGGATCCAGGCGCTGCATCTCCTCTTCTCGCTCTACTCCGCCGTGAAGAACTCGCAGTTGTACGCCGAGAGGCAGAAAGAGAAGGAAGTAGAGAAATGAGGATGTTTTAGTCCAAGTAGTATAGTTTAAGTGAAGAATTAAAATGTTAAGTTGAGTCGGTCTTTGATTGGATGTTCTTTGAGGATTTAAGAACTTTTCGTGTTATATTGATGCTCTAATAAAATATTTTAAAAAATTATTTTTTTCTTTAACTTACCCATATAGTGACTATATATATACGTATAGTATTAGACTAGAGGATTATTATTTATATAGTTTGAAAATCATTCTTACAACTTATCATAAGTCCATTGCTGAACATAGGCCACCCCCATAGATTATCTCATAGCGCGAATATCTACTAGGTGTAGTTAAAACTTTAAAGGCTTGACAGGCAGACAGTTAACTGATTTTGGAGTTTTTATTAGGAAGATACTGCTGTCCCGTTTCATTGAAATCTGTCGCCGTTTTGGGGTAGTTCCATCACGCTGCTACTGCGCGCCGAGTGCTAGAATCATTATTTAGTATTTCAGCTTTTGATAAAAGATTCTTGTTCTCAATTGAGTTCGGCTGGCAGACGTCACAAACTTATAACAGAGTAACAAGTGTGAAAGTTTTAATATTTACCGTTTAACCAAATACGTGATAGAATCATTTAATAATTACCTATCAAAATTCCACAGCAGAACGAAGGCCTCTCCCATCAATTGCCTCATAGGGGTAAATAAAATTCTTTGGTATGTTCATTAAATAAAAAAATTAACCCTTTTAAGAGTGGTTTCAAGAATATCCACAAGCATAAGGTCACAACTTAAAAAACAAGTTTTTCGACGTTGTTTTCAACAGAGTTATTAGCCCCCTTCTATTGAAGCCATCAGGTCGATGATAATAATAAAACGATTAGCTTGCTTTGGCAACGGTATTTATTCACAATTTAATTACAATATTTCTAAACAAAAATATACATCTCTTCTGAGAGTGTTTCATATCGGTACTAGCCTCTAGTGGTGTAACTTTGCCTGATACCTGTGACAGTGTCACCGGAGATAATGACTTAGTGTCTCAGAAATAATTATGTTTTGAGCACCAATAATACAGGAGAAGATTATCTCTTACCAATGGGAACAGAAAAAAAATATCCACCAAGTATGTCACACTGACGTATATGTCACAGGTACCAAGCTTTATTTTATGTGTACATACACAATCGTCTTAAGAAAAATGCTGTAAATTTAGGAACGAGGATATAGTAAAAAGATATATACAAGCACAAACATTCTTACAATACATTGCTTTATCATCATACGAAGAACGACGTTCATTTCTGTCCTCATCGTTATAGTAATAAGTAGTTTTTACATTACCTGTAATGGCAACACTATTTTGAGTTAATAAGTAACAATAAGGTACTGACGCCTTTTAGTATTTTTTTTAATTATTATAAATTACTGTGATGTCAAAAGCAATTTTAGCGGTTAATCAACCGTAGTTATTACCGCATTTATTTTCAATTACTTAACCATTTAAAAAAGTGAAACTTTAAAAAATTATGTATTATACAATTTTATTATTTACCACGGTTTTTCATATTCTTACATTATCATCGGATTCCGAGCGAATTTCTAAATTTCAAACCGTCATCCGGAAGTTAGTTTCAAATCAATTACTAAATTGCCATCTGAATAGACATACAAGAAAGCGAATTAATGAAAACGTGGTAATATAAAGTATGTATATACTAAGAAGTTTCATTTGCGAGCATTCCCTGTCGTGTTTTGGTAGGAATGGTAAGGGAGTCAGTAAGGTAACAGGCTTTTCCACCTTAGTTCTCAGGAGGTAAAACACATTAGAGATTAAGGTGACCTTTGTAATTATATTAAAAAAGTGTACACTAAAAAAAAAAGAATTTTCTTATACTTCCAAAAGATTTATAATCTGTTCGCTTACACATCGTCTTGGCACGTGCCGCAGCTTATCAAAGGCGCCCCGGGCGGCGCACACCGGCAGGGATATTTTGTATTTTGAAACTAAGCGCTGTAGTGAAAGGTTCTTTGCTTTACCTTGTGTATATTATTTATAATCGTATTTCATTACAATAACCATAAGAATAAAATAGTAAGTATTCTATTTTATTCTTAGAACAGAAAAATATTTATTTAACAAACACAGTAAAAATAGTAAAATAATAAGTGCGCCTCCGGGTGTACAGACACTGTATTAGCGAACAGACTATATGCGAAGTTACAGTTTGTTGAAGTTGTTTGTTTTTGTTTCTTATTGTCGTCTAGTAAAGATATTCATTTCATCGATATAAAAATATTTAGGCACTGTCTTTATAGTTTGCTATTTTGCACATGTATCTTAAAGCATTAATTGTATCATATCGTTCATATAATTAAATGAGCTGTGAATTAAATAGCTGTGTGATTTTGTAATTTTTCAATTTCTTATATATTTTAACAAAATAAAAGGTTTTATAAACAAAATTCCACAGTTAAACGGTAAAACGTACTAAATCTATTGACGGGCAATTTGAATATCAGATGAATATTACTGCTAAATTATTCAGACAAGATTTATTCTTAAGTAGCAACATTATTAAAAAAAAACAGTATTTTCTTTTGGATGACAGCATACTTGATTGTTGCCACTATATGCTTTCGTCAGTGAAGTTTTATGATATACGCACTTATAGCCGGTTTACACTTTGACAAGTACAGTAGCGAGTTTAGTTACAGAGCAGTTGACAGTGAACGGTTTAGTGGACAGTAGCTTTCTAATGTCTTCGTGGTGATTTTAGTTAAAAAGGTAAAATTTTAAATTGAGGGTCGAACGTCATTGCGTCCTGGTTATTTATGCACTGAACTAAATGGGGTGGGGGCGGGAGTCACTTAACTCGCCAGGTTCGCAAGTTAAGTCGCTACTGTACTTGTCGAAGTGTAAATCCGTCTTAAGGTGTACATTACATGAAAGAGGACAGAAAACATACGAGATGAAAGACAGACATCGGTTGACTATTAAAAACACATTGGTCACTTACATAAAAGGTAGCTATTTATTTTTAACTGTACATACTTGGCCAAAGTTTTTTGACATATATAGAGTGTTACAAAAATATTTAATAGAACACTATTTCACAATTTGAACCTTTATAATTTGTTGAAGGAAATCAAATCAGTCTGTATCCAATATTTTAATATTTCTGTATTTAATTTACCTTATTTCCAGTTTACTCTTATGAAACCAATGCTCTGCGCATAACATTTTGCTATATGTACCAGTGTTAATTTTATATATAACATTTATTATTAGGTGAACATATTATTTACTCTCGATATGTGGACATTCCATATAACAGAGCATGAATTTTACATAGCATGACGTTTTAATGTTAGTTACACGTGCCACGCAACTATGAGATCTAACTCGTTAGTTTAGGATTCTAAATTGGAAGACTACATGGTGCGGCTACATACTTTATGAACTTAAGTCGATATACGTTAAAACGTTATCAATAAATATATTTGTATGTAATTTTAAATTATGACGGATACGTGTCGATCGGAGCTAACATTACTGAAAACAATATGAATACTAAACGCGCATAATAGGAACGTCTTCTGTAGAATGTGCCGACGAGAAATCAAACCAACGAATAGGGCAACAAGGGGCGAACTTTATGCACCGGCATGCTCTGTCAGTCAACCAGCAGCAGGTATACAAACACACATACTATGACATATAAAATATACAAAATACATACATACAGTGTATCTTAATATATAAATCAAATATTTTTAATATATTATATTATACATCATTAAAATACATAGATATAGCATATATGTTACATGTTAAAACTAGAGTTTAAATGTTTTAAGCCCAATTTTATTATAACCCGTGCATAGTGTAACCTGTACGCTTAACTTTAGACAGTGATAACGTAGAATGGACATACAAAACAAACGAAATCATCCCTACTGATTTCGTTTCATACTTCATGGTACACAAAAAATCTAAGGACAACATACCTAATAAGGCGTTAAGAAATGAAACTCAAATTAAAATTTAATACTAATAAGTAACATTCAACTAATGGCAGATATTTATAAGCAGTCGGATTAACTAGGGTAGGACCACGCTTTCACAGAAAACCAATGTAAAATAGTAGCTCAATGCTGCTGTGTTTGATATGGTGAGTGTAAAGAACCGGAGACCCTTTGTATTGAAACGAGGCACATAGTCTCAAAGGTCTCAAAGGTGACAACGCGTCTGCGTTTTGATTCTTAATTGAGGTTAAATGTCGATGTCTATGGGCCACAGCATCCACTTACCATCAGCTGGACTGTGCGCTCGTTTGCAAACCACGTTTGACACACTCTATTAAAAATATATATTATATTACATTTTTTATCTTAAAAATGTCACTACGCTAGGAATTTCACTATCGTGAAGGCGTTAAACGCAGATAAATTATATTTGTACAATCGAATAAAAAAAAACCAGTATGATTTAATTAAAATTTAACAAAGCGTTCCGATCCACCGTATGAGTCATTTCAAATTTTCCATAAGTTTCGATGAAAAATTACAATTTAAAAATTTAACTAACCTTTAATTAGCGAGTCAATTTAATATTTTACACTAATCACTTACACTAAAATAATATTTACACTTGGCGAATTCACAAAGCTTTTCATTTATCACAGTTCCATACTTTGCACTCACTCTTGTAGTTTAATTGCTCATTGATTTGCGCAGTGAGACAGTTTGCTACGAAATTTTCGTGTTTCTGTTAAAGTAGTAACTACCTACACTTGTTACGAAACGTGTATACCTACATGTTTCAATTGAATTATACTAACAATGTTTTGTAATACGGAAGATTTTTGAACAAGTGTAAGGAACACTCAAATCATAATATACACTCGTAATATATATTGAAACGTGGTAGAGCTACGCTGCAGCTATATTATGGCTGTGGCACGAATTTGTCGGCTCAACCGCGGAAGAACCACGCTCTCACTGAATACCAGCGTGAAATAGCAGCTTATGCTGCTG